TGCTTTGCCGGCACACGGTGGATACACCAGTACAATGGAAACTTGTTTTGTCGACATAGTAAATCACGATGAGTAACCAACAATGAGTTGCACGATCGTTATTTTTGCTGTTAAATGCTTTTTCTTTAAAGATTTTTTGTTTTTATTTCTGCAGTTAACTGGGTCAGCTTTTTTACTTGTCAATGTGTGAGTTGACTGGTTATTGCAAAAGCGTTATGAAGAAATTGCGGCTATCAACAATTTTTTAGAGTGTCACGTGCCTTTTTCTAGCACAAATAGTCTAACTTTTTTAAATGCTTAAACATTTATGGAGAGAAATAACGAAGAATGTGCCATATTTCAGAACTTTCCTGTAAGATTTTAGCTGCCTATTGTTAAATTAAAATTGCAATAAGACGTAATAACTATTTCTAATACTAGTATTTCTGCAGCCTACAGGTACTATATATATACCTATATAAATATATAACTGTACACGTGTAAATTTTGAAATTTAGAGTTTACTCAAATTATTTTAGTGGTGTCATTTACCTTTAAGTTCTGTTTAGTGACAATTGAGTGGAATCGCATACATCAGCATATAAATAAAAAAAAAATACAAAATTTAAGATATTAAATTGGGCATATAAAACGAAAATGCATGTAAGTATGTATGTATAAGTACGTAAGTTACTATGTTAATGCATGTATAAATATTATCAGAATGTAGTTATATAACACAAGCAAAAGCGAAAACACACATGAGCCGCAAACCCATAAGCAATGTAGCAAAAGGAATATGTACATACATACATATGTATTTTAAATGGTACCCAAAAACCCTTAATTAATTGAAGCGTTGCTACATACCTTTAACCACTGGCTCTGATACTAAAGTCATTTCCTCTTGCGGTATCATCTCCATCAGCCGCGCTATATCTTTAGCCAGCATATTGTCCACAATATCTAGCAAATGCGGTTTTAACGAATGGAATTTGCTAAAGTCTTGATGTTGCAGCACATCCTGCATTTTCTTGATATCGGGGAAGTCACCCGGTGAAATAGAGTGTTCCCGTTGTATGCGATCATAAATTTGCCCCAGATTTTTGATCAGGTCCTTCTTTTTGCTGTCTTTACCGAACACTGATGGCATATCTTTGCGCAGTTCCGAAATTATGAAGGCATGCACCTTTGCTAGACGCGCACGCTTAATCAAGTCGTTGAGTTTGCGCAGTGCTGCATTACGTGGCAGTGATTGCAAATCACGAAAGAGGTCCTGCTCTTCGTCTTCGAAGAGGCGGCGATTAGCATCGAAACGAAGTGGTTGATCCCAGAAAGAACCGATGTACACCCGCGCCACTTCGGGAGTTTGCAGCACCTTGCCCAAGGACCACATTAGCGCTCCGTATACACGCATAAGCTGCTGGTGATCAATCATATCAGCCTTATTGAGAATGATGCGTATTTTGTCATCGTGTCCTTTGAGCGCTTCAATGGAACGTCGAAATTCGTCGGAGATATCCAGCTTATGTGCATCGAAAAGCAGTATGATGCGATCTACACGCTCTGCAAACCATTCTAGCACACCGGTGAAGTCATATCCGCGATCGATGCGTTGTTTTTCCCCCGATAAAATACCGGGCGTGTCTACAATAGAGATTGCCTGCAAGACGGGTGAATTGAGAGTAGAGCACTGGAAACGATTTAAGAAGGCGTTGCCGTATTTACTCAACGGACGGAATTGCTTTTTGGGATCGACCACCAACGCATTACCGGGTATAACACCTTCTTTTTCATCGTGCATTACTGCAATGAAGCGATCTGTAGTAGGTTCGGGTCCAATGCGAATACCAGGGAAATCACGCTCCAATAGGTATCGAATAAACGTCGTTTTACCGGTAGAATACTGTCCCACAAGCAAGATCATCGGCTTGGCATCGAAGTCAGGATCTTCAAGCTTCGGAGAGTGAAAGTCGTGGAACTGGTAATGCTCCTCCAGAGGTAGCAGTTTACTGCGATAGATTTTTTTAAGTTCTCCCACCACATTTTCTACAACCTCTTGATTAGCTTTTTCACGTTTCAAAAAACTAAACATTTTGTTAAGATTTTACACAACTATAGCGAGACAACGTTTCACCAGCGAAGACTTCACTACACAGAAAGGCTGTAATATGTAATTTATAAAAAGAAATAAAATCACTTTAATTTGATATTTGCAATCCCGCTTATAAGTTATATTAAACAAACGCGCCCAAAAACAACTCGGAATGAATCACGCACACGCATACAGATTTATTTTTGGAAAAATTCCGTCACAATTTTCTTTCCCACTTGCCTCACTGCCACTTGTAGGTACGCTTATATACTGGGATTTGACCGCGTTTATTCGTAGATATTCCGCCCCAATCTTTTACAACCAAAAGCAACAATTCACACACCGCCTCATACAATCTTTCCAATTGGACTAATGAATCATCGCCTGCCTAACGACCAATGCATGAACCCAAATGCAGTGTTAACAATAATTTGGGGGAATGAAGTTGAATAATTTCTTTTTTAATTAACTCTTTTAATTACATTCACTTTTCTGTCTTTCTCCGTCCACGAATCTGCACAAACTCGTCACTGGAAATTGGTAAAAATATGAATAAGCAAACGTCATCCGCTTTTTGACATTCCATAGTGACTTTCTAATTGGGAGCTTTTGACATTAGCCAGAGTGGCCAGCGCACAAAGATTAAGGCGATGGCACCTGCAGAAAACGTATTGTCTTAGAACGTAGTTTTTAGCGGGCGATAAAAATTTCCGTTCGGTGACGTAAAGACAAATTTATTTCTATGATTTTTTGATGTAAAGTATCTGGCATAACAAAATTAATTGTAAGTGGATTAAAATCAATCTGAGTTCTTCCAGCTGTTGAACGGAATTCCATGCATGCGTGATAAGGTACCCTACAAGAAAAGGACCTTTTTTCTGACCTCTTCACTAACACACTAAAATATACACGAATACACAGAAAAACATTTGTAAAAATAACCTTAGGAAATACAATAAGTCGAAAAGAGACCTTTTAGCAGTGCTGAGAAAGGGACGCATAGTCACATGTACACAAAAGAACTGGTCAGGTTTTTCATATTACCCCCGAATTTCTGATGAAGAAATTGCAACATTTTTTCATCAGCACTGACCGTCAGGTTACCGGTCATTTGCCAGTAAGATTTCTTGTAGGGTAGACATAACAGTTGGTTCTACGTTACCGCAAGACCTGACCATATTTCCGGTCAAAACCGGGTGCGTCAGTGTTGGCAGTTACAACAAGATGTATGTAAAATTGTTAATGTTGATACACATACATGTATGTATGAACCAAACGGAAAATATGCTGGGATTAAAGACGTGCTGTCCTTCCACATGCCCTAATTTCACTTGCCTTGTGGACAGCACTGCCACAGACACTAAAATCTTGAGTGTTCTATTAGCGCCATATTTGAAAGCATGCATTGCTTATCACTCAGCTAGACCATAGTAACTCCAATTCGTACCGCTGTTACCATGACGCCATCATATAAAATAGCCTTGGAGGTAATTCAAAAACCTCCAAAAACGCCAACATGTTTATACATACATAGTGTTCACAAATGTGCGTTCATACGTATAGAAGATTGTTTGTGGACGTGCGCAAAATATGATGCGCAGTAGCGGGGCAAGGTGGTGCATTGATACTGATGCTGTGATATGCTCATTAGCGTGGGCCGAAAATCCGCTTTTTTAGAGTTTTGATTGGTAATAGCAAAAATATAGTTCATTATGCTCTAAAAAAATCTGTGGACAAGAGTAAAATTTTTGGTCAATATCTTAGGCTCGCCTAAGTCCATCAAAGTTGAAGTAATAAGGAATGCTTATTTCGATTCTCTTCAAAAATGCTCCATATACCAAAAAATGTAGACTAATACTTTCGAATATGATTGCAATTTTAGTAAAAAAATGTGTTAATTAATTATTTGAACTTTGATGGACTTGGGCAAGCCTAAGATATTGACCAACAATTTTCAGCTTTCACACAGATTTTTTATAGAGCATAATGAACCATATTTTTGCTATTACCAATCAAAATTCTAAAAAAAAACAGATTTTCCGCCCACGCTAATGCTCATCCAACTAGTAAAAAAGAATATACGTACTAAGTACATATATGCAAACATATCGGAATATGTATGTAGTACTTATATATCTAGCTGAATGTGATTTGGCCTCCGCTTGGCATTGACATTGTTGTCATAGTGAAAGCCATTTGCCGCCCCCATTTAATTAGAGGATTGGGAGTATTTACTCGCAGGGGTTGGCAGAAGTATACGGCACAGCATGAAAATTAAGAACAGATGCAAATGGACTTCTCGTACGCCTGCCATCGTTTGTAGTTTTTGCGTAATGTGAATCAATGCAAATTGGCGGGGGTGTTGCTTTCATTTAGCAGGTGTACATATATGTATATAGATAAGTTGGAAGCCATTCTAAAGGGTTTACCGAAAAAGGGCTGAATAAGGGCTTCTCTGAATGCCTTCTTCCTATTTATAATTTGCGCGAATGTATACGGTTATTTATTTAGCATTACAAATGAATTTCATTATGCTTTTTAGTTGCAATAAAACATATTTGATAAGGACCTTATAAATACATAACTCACGGAAGTAAGTTTTATGAATGGAAGAAGCAGCTTTAGAAGAATTGCTCTGAACACCCTTCTGAAGTACGTAAACGGAAAGCCCTTTAAATTTTTTCCACTCCATACAAAAAAGAAAGGACTGTAGTGTCGAAAGCTCTTGACTCTCAGAAAGACATTTTGGAAGGACTTATAGCTTCTAAAATTAACTACCGGGATGTAGCGGTATGTAAAAAGTGGTCGCCAGTGGTTAGGAGCAGTGGTAATAAGCCAGACATTACAGGAGCTAATTCGTTTACAATACATATATGCGTTTCAAAAACCATATACTAACTAAAAAGGTGGAAAGAAAGAAACTCGGAAAAGAGAATGCTTACGATGGAACGAAAGACACATTAAAAATAAAATTTTATTAATTTCTTTTTGGTTTTGTTTTTGTTCGCATTTTTAGCCTTCATTTTTGTCGCGCTTTGCATCAATAATTTCAGCATTTTTTCTTGCTTGCATAACGTAATTAATATTATATATCTTAATATCAGCATATCGTAAACCTTTTAATCCTTCTTTACGGGTTCTTTTTTGTGTGTTAGCATTATACATAATTAATTTTCATATTCCATATTAACCTTTAGTACTTGTATATAGTATTTGTGTATGTATGTATTTACTCGTATGTATAGGGGTAGGTAATTGTTACATTATACTTGTAAATTTTCATTACAATTATTATTGTTTTAATTCATCGTAATTGCATCAAGTTGCATATAAGTATGTATGTATTTATTTATTTATGTATATATTTTCAATACATTATTGTTTTTCGTTTTGCTTAGCCTTTTCATCTACATATATAAGTATGCATGTATGTATATAATTATTAAATCAATGTTAAATTTTTGTTTATTAGTTCTTAATATTTGTTATTCCAACATGAGACTGCTAAATCTTCTTTAGCATTATGCATGTAGGTAGTAATTATCCTTATATCTTCGTCTTATCGTGGGTTATTTACGTTTAGGTCTTTCATTCATTGCTACGGGCCACATTGCTATGAGACACCTTGCCCTGCAAAACTGTTTATTGTTATCAGTTTTTAACTGATCGGTTTTCAGTATGCTTTCACATTGCTATACCACAAAATAAAATGGACAAGTTCTTCAGCTGAAAAAAAGAATACAGAAAATGAAAAAATAAAAATAAAAATAAAAGCGAATTGAACAAGTATTTAGGCCCGTAGTCTTACAAGTAGTCGTAAGCTAAATCAGATTCCAGTTAAAAAGATTTTGAATTAAAAATTAACCAAGCACTATTAAGAAGTTACTACATATTTTAATAAGTTGTGTCAGCGGATTACTTACATACATTTTTGAAAATAAGTTAATGCATACATATGTATGTATGGAATTTGTATTTATAGGAAATAAAGAGATTCCTAAGTGATATCGCTACTGGTATGCTTATGTATTTCAGGTCAAATTTATCGAGATATTATTTAATTGTGATGCATAACTTTAACTTAGAACGAGAAATAAAACGTATTTTGCTTGTACTATGACAGAGTTTAAACACGAGTTAATTTTACAATACAGATGTAATGTGAAAACTTGCTTCTAAGTTCTTTATGATTACGGGCCAATGTTCAAGAAAAATGGTTGATAGTAAAATCAGGACATTAAAAAAAAAACCCCAAACAACTAATGGCAAGAGTTCTACTAATTGACTTTCAATTTACTTATCGAATCGTCAACAATTTTCTTATAGAAGCTCTTTATAAAAGGCAACACACTTTCGTAAAATTCTTTATCGCAGTAAGCTATTTAAACAAGCATTCGAGCGGCCTTTCAGCCAATAGCCATATAAAGTTTATTTCAAGCAATATCTTTCAAAACTGTTTGAAACCGCACTTCCAGCGTTGGAGCCGTAATACCCTTGCGTACATTTGGCAACTTAAATGAGCTTATAGAACTTTGCTTGTCATATCTATTTAATATTTTATATTTTTTAACAGCTTAGTTACAGTATTTGTTTTAACAAACTAAAATAGTATTTAACACAGCAAAAATTGTAAGTAAACCCTATACATTTTCTCTTTTAATCCACTGATAAATTTTGCTTTCAGTTTTTACGTTTTTCTAGTTACGAGGTTTAGCTTATGACACATCTTGTTTTTTTTATTTATTTAATTTCAGTGGTCTGTTTTCTTTTTAAATACAATATATGTAGTCCGAATGGGTTTGCTTTCTAGCTCGCTTGTTTCTTTTTTTAATTTTTATTTTATATTTAGTTTAAGATCTTTTCAATAAATGTATAATGTATATTTAAGGTATTTAGGAATTTAGGAGCTGCTGCTCTCGTGTTTCTTTGAATTTATTTTATAATTTTTTTATACGCTTTTTTCTTCGCCTCGAAAACATATATACGATTTATGTAAGAGTCATAATAAATATACACGTATATAATATTACTGTTTTATACTTAATAAATACATATACATATAAATATAAATAACAAAACAACATACACAATGAAGGTAAGTTAAGAGCAAGAAATGGTAACAGGGAATAAGTTCGTTCGTGTATTCGTAGATGGTGTGTGGGGGTATGTGATGACTTGAGAATGGCAAAAATGTTAGGGTGAGTACTTTATCGCGATAATTGTCGGATAGGTAGGCAATAAGATAGGAGTTACATAAATACTCATAGTAGCACAATAAATTTTCTTTTTCATATTAATTTCAAACATCATGTTAAAAGCTTCTCGATTTGGAATTGAATGTAATTGAAGTATTTATGAATTGATCTTTGAAATCTTAATCTCCATTGAATTTAATAGTTATAATAAATACACATCTCAAATTTTACGTTTGGTCTTAAATGTTTCAGTGGAGTTTTTTTTTGTTTTTTTTATAGCTTTTTTAATTTTAATTAACCGTTAAATTTAATATTAAATAATTAATTATTGTTGCTTATGGTTTGATGAAGTGCTTTTCTCTCATCAATGCAGCTTAGCATGCTCCCCTTAATTGCCATTGGGCAGTGGAACCACAATTTGCACATATGACTGTGGGAAGTAGCCGGTGCGTCCATTCAAGGAGCCTTCATACCAATTGTCGTCCACACGACTCAACAATGTAATTGTATCGTTTTCTTTGAAACCCAATTCGCCTGGATTCTCTGGTTCAAAATCGTACAGTGCCTGGCAGCAAGGTTGCTGCTGGCGCTGTGGTGTAGTGGCTCCCGCCACCAGCGACTTGGCTGGCGAGCGCAAGGGCGAGGGCAGCGGTGATGCCGTTGAAGCCCTGTGTGCCGGTGTGCTCACGCTGTCCGTGTCGTTAGTGCCGGGGCCATCCAGATTCAGATCCAACAGCGTCTTGGGCACAAATTCCGCTTTTGGTCGGGCTTCGGCCTCTTCTCGTTTTTCATGAAGTGTCTCCTGCAAGCCACGCAGAATTTCTGCGCACTGCGAGTGGAATTCGAAAAGCGCCTCAGCGAACGTTACCAATTGTGACACGTGTTCTGTGTCGTTTTCGAGCAAGTTAAACATGCCCATTTGCGCTAAATGTAGCGATTCGGCAAATTTCTCCTCGGCGCCTCGAATCTCCTCGTCTTTGGCTTGCCGGCGACGCTTGCAGTCAAAGTCGAGGCGTCGTCCTTGCAACTTTTTGCGATGATGCATCACCTCTTTCAGTTCCTTAGTTTGTAGATGATGAAGTGGTTCTAAGACGTTTTGCTTTATATTGTCATCTAGCGAGTATTTTACATCAGCCATTTGTCTCAGCGCCTCGCCGAATTCGACGAGCGCCTGCGCGAATACACTATTCTCCTCACCCAACTTTTTGCCGTACATCAGCATACAATCGGCGAGTAGACCTTCAGGTTGAGGATACGTATTGGACTTAGCCTGGCCGGACAGTTTAGAGATGCCCTTGACGGCGGCCATTTTTGCACGCGCCGTCGGATTTGGCTGCAAGAACTCCTTTGTCTTCAACTGCAGCTCTTCGACCAGTTCAACGGTAACATCCGTCTTGCGCTCCATTTCCATGAAGTCCATATCCAGCTTAGTACCTTCCGCCCCACCCATTTTCTCCGTCACATACTGGTTCGCCTTGTTAATTTGTTTTTTCAATCCTGCGAACGCCATCCCTGCTACTTTCGCTTTTTTTCACTCACTCGGCCTCCTCGGTGCACACTGCGATTTTCACTAGAGCGTTCAATTACGCGTATTTCTGGTTTTGCAAACACCGATACGGCTTATCGGACTTTCGATTTGCACTTGGGAGTTGTTTCTGGTTTGATTTTCTGCTTTTCTTTGATGAAATTCAGTTTTTTCTACTTTTTGCGCTGATGGAGTTTTCTTGCGCTGCAAATCGATATTTCACATCCAAGGAATTTGTGTACTTTGTAGTGGAGCTTTCGGTGTATGTTGGAGATAGGAGAAGAAATGACTGGAAAAAGTGTTTTGCACTGCGCCAACATGCCCCAAAAGCGGGTGGAGGGCAACTTGACAGTTGGTTTTTGGGGCTGTTTCTGACATTCGTGTAAAAGCTCAACTGTTGGTAAGGCAGGCCAGCTTAGCTGGCAAAGCAGTTTCTTTAAGGCGGTTCAGAAGTTGCACAGAGATGCATTTGGAACAAAGTAATGTTGATGGAATTTTTGATTAAGCGTTAAATTAAAAACAATACCTTCGAATAATTGCTTTATTAAACAATAACAAATACAGTTGTTTCGTAATTGTGTTGGAAAAAAACGAATATATTGTTGTAATGCATAAACATATATCTCTTCTTTAGGAGTTTGTTGCGTCTGCTGCTGTTTGTCCTGATGCCTCGGACGTTGCAGTCTGTGCGCGAACCTTAGCTTCGTCGTCAATGGCTTTCAACTCAGCTTTGGATTTGGACAGCTGTAAAGCAACACACCGCATTTGAAACCAAGGAAGAGTTGAAACTGTACTGCAGCTATTGAATCCCAATTCAGCGTTGCCCAAAGTGTCCTGCACACGTTGTTGCAAATCTGCTGGAAGTTCCCCGGGCGTTGTGAGAAGCTTCTGCGCTTCAGCGTTTAAGACGACATTCTGGAAAAACTCTGGTGGCGGCGGCCCTGCACGGCCAATGCCCAGCCCAAGACCTAAGCCTAGACTCAGTTGAGCCTGCAAGGCGAGTGTATTTTTAATGAGTACTTAAAACCGTTATATTATTTAAAAAAAAACTTACCTTTGCTGCTACAAAACCACTAACTAAGAAAAAAAGTAATACAAACTTCATCATGAATGAATTATCTTAACTTAATATTTATAAAATCCTGTTAGTTATTAGCTGCTTGCGCTACAATTTTGACTTTGTTCGTTAAACTTTTCGTATTTGATAGCTAACCCACTGGACTTGATTCGCTTTTATATCCGAAGCGGTAAAGAAGCTTATCTTTTAGGTGCGTAGATTTTTCCTTTGAATCACTTATTCTTATATTTGAGCAATTTGGTATTTGATTTATGTGGTCATCGCGTCATCTCAGGGCCACATACCTACTCTCGTACACATGGACTTACATACATACATATGTACATTAGACTGCATCACCAAAAAAAGTTGCAGGTTTTCCGCCGGGATCACACAATTTATTATATTTTAAGACGTCCACCAAAATATTTCGCAAAAATTATAAGATTTAAGCGAGCTGGACCGATATGAAAATGCCTCCAAAAAAGGATTTTTTTATGAATAAAAATAGTTTTTAGTTTTAGTTTTAGTTTAGATGACAAAACAGATTAAGCTTAAAATATCTGCATAAAATATTATCAATCAATATTCTATCATTCTGATTTAGACTTGTGGGATCTCGATAAAAAGGTATTCATTCGTGTCCCCTTTTTTTGTTTAAATACCAACACATCTTAATTCAACTTTGACTGATGTTCGTTCATCCTACCTTTCTTCTTCATCCTCTGAATGAGCTTATTAGCAAAGAAATAAAAAGGGTTAGAAAATACCTTTCCAATAATACCTTGCAAGTCTAAATCGGAAGAGTTTAGGTTCAGTTATTCAAGTTTTTCTTATACCAATCTTTGAAAAAAGTCAAAAAAACAGCATCAAAAATCTCATTATTACGATTCCGTTCAAATTTAAAAAAATTGGCCCGTAGTCATAGTCAAAATAAAGTCGACTTTAAAGTTAGTTGCAGCTTTTTTGACAGATATCCCATTGAAAATTATGTCAAAAAGCTGCAACTAACTTTAAAGTCGACTTTATTTTGACTATGACTACGGGCCATTGTTTTTTTTTTTAATATTTTTATGTTAATTTCTTAAGCTCAAACCGTTTTGTCATTTGAGGAGATTTTTTGGAGGTATTTTCAAATCGGTCCAGCTCGCTTAAATCTTAATATTTTTCCGAAATATTTTGGTGGACGTCTTAAAATATAATAGATTTTATAATTCCAATGGAAAAATAGTACCGAGTTTTTTTTGTTTTTTTTGAATGTGGAGTGATGCAGTCTAATGTACACGCATCTGCACAAATATGCACTTTTCTTACTCTATTTACGCTAATCTCTTCTATCATGCGGCGACTGTTATCTTTAGTTCTAACCACTAATTTACGGATCTATTTTTATTTACTTTAGTGCATAAGAGTATTGCATTCATTTCCACAAACACGCACTGATTACAATTGGTGTTATAAATCTGTGGTCATATGCAATAACCGCCTAAGTCGACTTAAGAAACTAATTGAGTTATATATATTCTATCGAATTTTGCAATTAAGTACTATTCATGCGTATGTATGTGAAATCCTCATCTCGACAGGTAGGCTATTGTACAAGTTATAGACGAACATATTTTGGTTTTCCCATAAGGCTAACATGCAATCCAAATGTTAAAAACGTTCTTTCTTGAATTTTGGGTCTTCGACTTAGGCGGTTATTGCATGAAACCAAAAAAATATCTTTTGCCGCAGTTGATGATTAAGAGGCAATGATTCATAAATTTTTGCTATCGCCCCGAGCCATCCTCCAGTTCGTTGAGGTTATTAATCACACTCCTCCTACTCCGTTCCTTCGCCGTAGAAAAAGTTGCAGTTTTTGTGGTAACAACGAAAAGGTTATAAATTTCGCAAATACGGTGCAGCACACCCACCTTCAATACGAACCGAATTTAAAGTCGATAGCATCAAAACTGCCGAAGTTGATGTACCGAAGAACTCTGTAATATATAGATATGTATATATCTAAACCGAATTTCATAGTGCAATATGCATTTCGCGGCTGTGTAGGAACCGTTTTAGGATCATTTAAAATGGTTTTTCAGTTCTTTAGACTTATTTTTTCGATTTTTCTAGGACCTTTTTTCGGTTATTCCGAAACAGTTTTTTGTTCTTGTAAGAGCCTGGGTTACCTCTGCAAAGATGAAGATGGAAATCTGGTAACAGATGTCCAGAGTACACTTGGGTACACTATGGAGGGAACACTTCTCAACGCTTTTGAATGGCGACATAGGTGGCGCCTTTGATGAAGAAGAACCCGAACCAATGTACAGGGACGAAGCTCACGTCCCTCAACTCGACCAAGATGAGGTGAGAACAGCAATAAAGCAGCTTAAGAACAACAAGGCCCCCGGAGTCGACGTTATAGCGGCCGAGCTGTTCAAAGTCGGTGGCGAAGTGTTGGTGGGGCGCATGTACCAGCTTTTAAGCAGAATTTAGTCTGATGAACACATATACGAATACTGGAATCATAGTATACTTTGCCCAATCTACAAGAAGGGAGATCTCAATTATCACGAAATAAGCCTTCTTATTATTGAAAAAAAAAACAAGGTCCTATCGACAATACTGTGTGGAAAACTGACGCAGTTCACGAACCAGCTGATTGGACCTTATCAGTGTGGCTTCAGACCTGGTAAGTCCACCATTGACCAGATCGACACACACCATCTCTTTGGCGATTAAACGAAATATACTTGTTAATTTGTTTGATATATTTTCTATTTAGTAATTTTTATGCAAATAAAAATCGTCTCGGATTTTCAGCAAATTTTTCGATTATTTCCTTTTGAATCATCTCGTGGTTTTCGATAACGAGTTTTCTATGGACGCTCATGAGTATGCCTCCAGAAAGCCTTTCTTCTCCCCTCTTTACAGGAATGATTCGGAATTCAATTTAACAATTAATATAGCTGCCAAGTTCTGCTCCGACAAATTGTCTCGCAAATCGCTAAGAATAAGCTTAGTGCTGAGAACGCGTCTTCTACACAGATCTCTTAGTCGGGGATATATACATTTTTTACTCTCCCAGTATTCCATAAGGTCCGTATCAACATTAATGCGCTTCTCCTTATAGGTGCCTTTTTCCATTAATGCTTTTCGAACGTAATCTTCGGAAAAAGTAAAAGTCAAGTTTAAACTTTTATATTTTACTGAAAAAATAAAAGTAAAATTTTAATCTTTAATTTTGACCGAAGCAATAAGTCATATTTTAACTTTTATATTTGACCAAAAAAATAAAAGCCATAACCGTTGCGGTCCCTGCTAATAAAAGCTTGTTTTAATTTTTTTTCTTAATTACTTGTTCTAAATTTGGTTCTACTTCTCTAGTAAAAAGGGGCTTACGTGCATAGAGATGTACCTATGCATATATCTGTTAATGCAAACAAAAACACACATAAATACCCTACAAAAAAATGCTACTAATCCGGAAGGAATCCGGGAGCAGGAACATGCCACGAATACCACTTTTGATCCCTTTATATGGAATGAACTGATCGCTACTAATGGCGATTTCGTTTCTACAAGAAATGTTGCCTTCTCATCGCCCTCTTCTTAGTGTTTGGGCGTAGAGGGCAAAGAGAAGGTTGCATTTTTCGGTAGAAACGAAATCGGCATAAATGTTCCCCTTTATATCCGAATGGGCATAAAAAGCGACTAGTCGTTAAAAAATATAAACAAAAATAAAAACTCTTGCCAGCTGCGATTTGAACCGGGGCTCTCATGGTTGTTAAGCGAATACTCTCTCTACATGCTAACTTTGGACATGAAATTTCGTTTACTAAATATCTACCTATCATTAAATCTGTCCTGTCAGAGATGGGTCGGGGACTAATTGATTTCCAATAATACCGACCCATATGAGAATAGTTACGACTAATTACTGCCCAATTGTACCCGATTGAGAGTAATCGCGGAATATTGTCTTTAGAGATTCGTACAAATCCCGGCCTTTTTTAGTTTCCGAAAATCCCGAAATTATTGGCAAATAATCCCGGAACTTTCGGTGTTTGTAATTTGCGCTGATGGCAATAATCGAAACTCTTTTTCTTGACAAGTATTGGCCTTATTTCTTTTGTTTATTTAATAACTAATATTTTTTTTATTATACATATAACACCGTGGCATAATAAATTTTACACATAAAAATCAATATATATTTGCGAAACCAGGGCTAAATAAAGTAAAATTGCGTTTTTCACCCTGACGTCAGTAATTCAAAAATCATTTAAACAAGTAAAGAAGTATAAGTTCG